CCCCTCCTCTTGCCCACCCTGCTATACTGCCAGGACTACTAGATCACTCAAATGTGTTCATGAGTGAAAGCCATTATATGTTTTCCCCAAAGCTTGGTGGGCATTAGCTCACTTTTATGAATGAGGAGCTGAGGTCTGGAGGGGACAGGTAACTTGCTCATGGTCACAAAACCAGGACTTGGGGTTCTGACTTTTAAATGAGATCTGCCAGGTTCTAAAACCACATATGAATGAGGTCCAAGGGGAGATGAACCCCATCTAAGGACAAAATGCCAGATCCTATTCATCCTGTGAGAGGTGGGGATGTCCCCACGCCATGGCTGGTATCAGAAGACACAAGACAAACAATTCCCCAAAACATGACTTCCATACACAGACCTGAGGGAGCCTCAGTAACTTCAGGACTAAAGGCAAGACCCTGACCCCAAGGGAGGTTCTCAAGGAAGTAGGCCACCCACACTTTGTGGTCTAGACAAGGAAACTGGGGTTGCCCAGAGCCTGTGTGGAGGAGTCCCAGAGAGCCACATTACTCCCACTTCTCACTACCTATTGTTTTAGTTGTGGGTTGTTTGTTTTGTTTTGGTTTTTGCCTGAGAAATGTGCATGTTAATGAATATTAATGAGTTGCATACCCATGAACAACCACCCTGGTCAAACAGACCATTATCAACATTCCAGAAGTCCCCTGGGTCCCTTCCCAATCACATCCCTCCCTCCCCCAGAAGTAAACACTATCATGACTTGGTGATAATCATTTCCTTGCTTTTCTTTATAATTTTACCACAAGTAATAGATTTGTTTGGCTTGTTTTTGAACTTTGTGTAAATGGCTCATACAGTGTGAAATCATTTGTGTTTGGCTTCTTTTGCTCAATATCATGTCTGTGCAATTCATCCAGGCTATTCCATGTAGTTGTAGATCTTTCATTTTCATTGTACAATATTCCAATCTGTGAATATATAATTTATTTATATACTTATTGGCACATCTGGGTTTTCTATTTGTAGTTTTTAATATATTCTAGGTCTGAGCCTTTCATCACTCGTGTTTCAATTATCTTCTCCCAACTTGTGTTTTCACTTTATGGTGTTTTTTTGGTCAATAGACATTCTCAATTTTAATGTAATTAAATGTTTTATAATTTTCATTTATGGTTAGTGTTTTTGTGCCTTCTTTAAGAAAAACTTTTCTACCATTGAGCATATGAAGGTATTCTACCATATTAAATTCTTAAAGCTCCCTGGGTTTTGCCTTTCACATTTAGGTTTTGAATCCACCTAGAATTATTTTTGTGTTGTGAGGTAGAGATCCAATTTCTTTTTTTTTTCAATTTGGATAACCGGTTCTATTTATGGAAAGTCCAATCATCCCCCTCTGGCCTCACAGTACTTCCTTGGCCTCCTATTCTCTGTCTCCTTAAGAATGGGCCTGTTTCTGAGACCACTGTTCTTTCACTAGTATATTTGTCAATCCTTGCAGAAGTATTAAACCATCTTAATTGCTATACTTTTATAATAAGTATGGGTGCCCTGGCTGGTTGGCACTTAGACATTAATTTAAGAGTTAACTTGCTATTAATACACACACACAAAAAGAATCATTGGAATCACAACTGGAATTGCACTGAACCTGCACAACAGTTTAGAGGGAACTAATAGCTTAACAACATTGACTCTTCTTCCATTTGATAAACATGTCTATTTATTTAGTCTTTTTTAATGCCTTTCAAGGCTTTCTTTTTTCCAAAGAGATCTTTCTCCCTTTTGTTAATTTCTAAGTAGTTCATAAATGGAATCTTTATTAAAATGTTTCTTTGTTGTTGGCATATAAAAGCAATGGATTTTTAAATATGAATTTCATATCAAAAATATTTTAAAGTTCTTAATAATGCTAATAATTTATCCATGGATTATTTTTTATTTTCTACAAAACAATGGTATCATCTACAAATAATGACAATTCTGTTCATTCCCAATCTTTAAATATTTTCTTTTCCTTGACTTATTGTGCTTGCTAGGACTTCCACTACAATGCTGAGTAGAAATGGTGACAGCAAGCGTGCTTGTCACATTCCAAATGTCAGAGTTCTTAACATTTCACTTCTAATTACATAGTTTATTGTAAATTTTTGTAGGTATCCTTTATGGTAAGAAATTTTATTCAGCTAACTTGTTAAGGTTCTTTAAATCATGAATAGATGTCAAATTTTATCTAACCCTTTCTCTACATCTATTGAGATAATTGTGGTTTTTCTCATTTGATTTGCTAATGGGGCAAATTATGCTGATTGAGTTCAAATGTTAAACCACAGTGCAGTTTTGGAATAAATCCAACTTGGTCATATTATACGTTTTTAATATACACATGGTCCCCAACTTATGATGGCTTGACTTACAATTTTTCAACTTCACAGTGATGTGAAATCAATACACATTCAATAGAAACTGTTCCCCAGGCTAACGATATGCAGTAAAATAATCTCTTGTGATGCTGGGCAACAGCAGTGAGCTGAAGCTCCCAGTCAGCTACAAAATCACAAAAATAAACAACCAATAGGCTACAGTGTTTTGTATTGCCATCATTTTTTGGATATTTTGTTTTGTGTTTTCACATTCCTTCATGTTTACAAAACACCCATCTCTGTCTTCTATTTCTGGCGAGAAACGGGAGGCAATTACTCTTGAGGTGAAACTCATGATAATTGCCCAACTGTAGGCTAATGCAGTGTTCTGGGCACATTTAAGGCAGGCTAGGTTAAGCTATATTTGGTAGGTTATGATACTCTCAACTTATGATGGGTTTATTGGGAAATAACCCCGATATAAGTTGAAGAGCATCTGTATTAGACTTAGGTAATGCTATAGACTGAATATTCCTATCCCTTCCAAATTCATATATTGAAACCTAGTCTGTAATATGATGGTATTAGGAGGTGAAGCCTTTGGGAGATGATTAGGTCATGAGGGTATAGCCGTCGTGAATGGAATTAGTGCCCTTATAAAAGAGACTCCAGAGACTGACTAACTCCCCTCATTCTATGAGGACACAGCGAGAAGGCTATGAACCACTAAGTTAGCCCTCACAATACACCAAAATTGCCAGCACCTTATCTTGACTTCCACGCCTCAGAAACTGTGAGAAATAAATGTTTGTTGTTTATTAGCCACATAGTCTATGTTATTTTGTTAAAGCATCCTGAACAGACTCAGACAGGTAGTTATCACTTGGTTTAAAATATTTGCATTTGTCCTGGCTGGTGTAGCTCAGTGGATTTAGTGCCAGCCTGTGAACCAAAGGGTTACTGGTTTGATTCCCAGTCAGGACACATGCCTGTGTTGCAGGCCAGGTCTCCCGGTTGAGGGTGCTCGAGAGGCAACAACACACTGATGTTTCTCTCCCTCTCTTTTTCCCTCTCTTTCCCTAAAAATAAATAAAATCTTTTTAAAAAATATTTGCATCTATTTTCTTGAGATTGTTCTGTGATATTTGTTTTTCATTCATCAAGTTTTAGTGTCAGGGTTATATCAGCCCCATGAAATGAATTAGGAATGCTCCTTTTTTTCTATACTCTGCTTTTGTAAAATCGAAATTATTTGTTCATTGAGTGTTTCACCAGTGAACCCATCTGGGCCCACAGTTTCTGTATGGAAAGCTCTTTGGCTACAGGTTCTGTTACTTAATAGGACTACTCGAGATTACTCTTTTTTCTGGACAATTTTGGCAAGATATTTGTCTGTAGTAATTTGTCCATTTTATCTAATTTCTCCATACAATTAGTATAAAGTTGCCTTTTTGAACATTGATCAAATTACCACATTGATGGAAGGACACCCACACATGTCTAGATTTTGATATTTGACAAAGTCAGAATATCCTCATTGAAAGATAGGTGAAATATTGGTGTGCTAATTTGTTTTCACTAGTGGTTTTCCATTTCCAGACCTCTGAAATGCCATTCCTTCTAACTGGACTGCCCTCTCTTCCCCTTCATTATCTGGTGGATTCTTTCTCATTTTTTAAAATTCACCTCAGGCACCATGTCTTCTAAGGCTTCCAGATTCTCCACACTAGGATATGTATCTGTCCTTGGGCCCCCACAGCCCACAGCATCCATCCCTGTTAATGGACTAACCACACTCGACTGAAATTCTTTCTCTGTGTCTGTCTTCCCCATACACTGTGAGTTCCTTCATGTGCCTTCAGAGCAGAGCAGAGGTGGTCGGTCAATACTTGCGGAACTGAACTGAATTTATAACCACTGAATGATCAACTAAGTTCTCTAGCCATCTCTTTATATTTCCCCACATATATTTGTTTGTTACTTAATTTATTTTATTCAATGGGTATTGGCTGAGCAACTATCATGTGCCAAAAACTCTTTTAGAAGAGCAGCTGGTGAGCAAACAGGAAAACTAGGAAAGCGTGGTGAACTGGAAACCAAGGATTTCAGAGTTTTTGATTTGCATGTCGCAAATATATCTATCCTTTCTTTCAAAGCTTCTGGATCTCCTGTTTTGAGTAAGAAATGCAATGTCTGTGGATAGCAACAACTCTGGTATGAATTTTTCACTCTTCTGTCCTTTCTGGGGCCTTCCCAATCCTGGGGACAGAGGAGCCTCCCTGATGATGAAAGCCTGTTTTTTAAAGTAACTTCAAAACTTTGTGGCTGATTCACAACCAATATCCCACATCTACAGCTGACCACATCCACCACTGAAACCACGTGTGTGACACAAAACCATTATGTGGCTGCCACTTTCCCTCCCTCCTTGACAGAATGTGGAAATGACCAAAGGACATGCCCCCCAGAGACCACTAGACCACATGTATTAGGACAATAAGGTAAGTCAAGGACATACTGAAGCATCAGCAGACATCACTATGTCCCATGTCCCACTCCCCACTGTAGTCCTCCCATATGACCACCCTGCACATTCATTCCTGAACAGAACACTGCACAGCAAGACACATCATTTCTCATAGAGCTCTATTGTGGCATATAATAATAGGTACTCTATATAAATTAAATTAAAAATAAAGCTCCAGCAGGTTGCACAGGTTGGCTGTTAATAAATATATCTCTGGGTAATTGTGCCCCAAGACCAGCTCACGACCACTCTCCCTCATCCAGAGAATTATACAAAAATAAATACAGGCTGGGGGGGGCAGGGAGAAGGGAGGACATGCCCAGTTCCATTCTGAAAGTTTTCATTCCCACTATCCACCCGTCCCCAGTTCCACTCCATTTGTATCACACAGGAGCCCTGTGCTGACTGGAGGGTTCAGGGGTGAGGAGGCCTCTCTCCAACTGAACATTCTCAGAAGCAAAGGACACCCTCATTGTACAGGCCACACGTCCCATCTGAACTCTCTGGGGGTGGTGCAGGAGCTACCCCTCCCCAGACCCCAGAGAGGGGGCCGCTTGTTATTACTGGTCCCACAAGCAGGTCCTACGAAAACCAGGCCAGAGAGAGGCACAGCGCAAGCACCAGGAGGGACATACCACTGTTCAGAGCCACAGGGACCACCACCAGGCCAGCCAGGACCCCCAGAGTCTGGGTCAATGGCCCCCAGAGCTGGGGAGGCAAAATACACACACATTCTGCAGGGACTGTTAGGGTGGGAGACCTCTTTGGGGACTCAAGCCTTGGGCCTGAACCCTCTTTATCCTGGGAGTTTACTTGGGGCCCAGCCAGGCTGGAAGGACAGAATTCAGCCTCGGAGGTGCCAAGGAGAGTGAGATTTTGCCCCTGCAGGACAGGAACAGCTGGCTCATTGCCAGATACAGGAACCAAGCTGTCTGTCCTCTTAGTGGTGAACTCCATTGGGGCTTCTGTCCCTCCCGGGAACCTGGTCACCCCAGGTATCACCCTATTCATGTGCAAAGAGTCAGTGTCCTTGCACATCCTCTCCTCTGGAGCCCCAGTGAACTGACCCTCTGTACCTAGAACCACAGGGTTGTCACATCCGGAGCCCTCTGCCCACGGGAGCCACACATCTCCCATAGTGGCTACCACGGAATGGGCCCCAGAGAGAATTTCTGGAGGCGAGTCCTTGGGGGTGCCCCCTTCTGGACTGGAGGGTATCATGGAGAGCCCCTCTTCGCCCTCCCCCTCCTCATCAGCGTCCTCGGTGTCCTTGATGAGCTCTACACCACGCCCCAGGCGGGCGTAGTGTAGTGTGATCTCCTCTGCCAGGGCACTGTTCAGAGCCCGCTCAGGGCCAGGCCACTTCAAGATCAGGTCGCGGTCCGTGAGTATGCCCAGGGGATGGCTGGGGGACCCTCCATCTGTGGAGCCCTCCCCACTACTTCCTGCCCCACCTGCAGCCACAGCAGCCCGCAGGCGGCTCAGGTGGGACAGATAGAGCTGCTCCAGCTCCTGGTCAATGGTGTCCTCGCCAAGCAGCTCCTCCAACCCACTCATGACCTCCAAACCCCCAGAGGGCTCGTCCGTAATAGCCCCTACCATGGGGTCCTTTCGGCCCCCTCCATTCTCACTCGATACTTCCCACGCAGCCTCCACCTGTTGTTGACTAGATTCCAGGAGAGGCCCAGCTGCCCCCTCACTTGCATCTGGCCCAGAGGCCTGGTCCCTGGGGGAGCCACCCAGGCCACAGAGAAAGGAGGAGGGGGGAATCCTGATGGCAGGTGGCTGGGGAACCTCTCTGAAAGCCACAGGCAGACTGCTTCTGAGGATTTCACCTTCCTCTGGGGATTTGCCAGTCACTGTAACTTCAGAAACCTGCAGCCATGGGGGGTGGGGGTGGGGGGTGGGGCGGGAGGGGAGAAAAAGGGAAGGAAATGAAGCAGAGGAGGGAATGAAACAAGGAGAGATGGTGAGAACTAGTAACAGCCCACACCCAGTCCCATAGGTGCTTCCAGATTTAAAAAAAAAAAAAAAAAAAAAAAAACCTCCTTAAAGAGGCTTCTGTAATTCTCTAAATTCCAAAGACTACACCATCCATATTGAAATAAAAAATGAGATGACATGAAAGAAGGCTTCCTCCAGATGACAAAGCTGAAATGAATGGCTGTCAGTAAATACTGTTGGTTGGCTTCTAAAACATATCCAGAACAGCCACATTAATTTATGTATTTTTTCTTCTAAAAAATTATTCCTAGCTCCGTCTTTTGACAAGGCCTAGAAACAATGACCAACCTAGTAGCAACGAGCATATCTGGTGCCCAGATCTAAATATCATTCTCTGCTAAAAGGAACCAGGGTTTCTTAAATAAATGGCTGTTTCCAGGTTTGGGGCAGGTAAAGTACCAGATGAGTCTGGGGCATACTGCCACACCAGAATGTGAAGAAGTGCTCAAATACTGATGGGTATGTGTAAAAAGGACTCTGGAGCCAATCTAAATAAGCTTCCAGTGGCCAGAGGCAGTTCAACTTAAGCATCAAAAATATAAGGGCAATAGATTGAAACTCATCGAATATGGGTTAATAATGGTATACGGAAACCAAAACTCCTTTACTTGATCACCTTTGGAGAAGTTGATTTCTTCTGAAAACTGGTAAACAAAAAAGGGAAAAATTAAGTATTTATACATCTTTTTCTATACAAACTATGTACCTTCAAGGTACACACTTCAAAGTAACCAGACAACTGATGTGAGAAACTTTTTCTTTAGAGAAGAATTCCAGCTAATAAATGAAGTGGGGATAAGAGAATTAAACAAAATCAATTCTATTTAAATTAATTTAATAATAATAGATTATATCTAATAAATTAATTTAATAAAATCAATAGCTTAATCATTAAATTTAATAATAGATTATAATAATTAAATAGAATTAATAAATTAATAAAAAAATTAAGTAAGAAATGTGTTTCCACACAGATTCAATCAGCCAAATCCAGACTGTGTGAAACTCAACAGGAAAAACAAGCTTTCTTGAACAAGCAAATTGCAAGAAAAGTGAGGGAGATTTAAAAACCTAAGGTGATCCATCAACCAAATGCAATGTGTTGACCTTGTTTGAATCCTAAAACATTTATGAGATAAGGAAATTTGAACACTGACCAAATATTTGATGGTATTAAGGAATTACTGTTAATTTTCTGAAGTATGATGGTGGCACTGTGTTTTTTTTAAGGCTTATTAATTGTATGAGATACAAACAGAAGTATTTATGGATGGGAGAATGTCTAGATTTCTTTTCTACAATCTACTTCCCTCACAGCAGCCAGAGGGAGTCTATTAAATCCTAACTCAGACTATGGCCCTTCCTGGCTCATGACTGTCCTGTGACTCCCTTGTCACTCAGAGTAGAAGCCAAAGTCTTCTCCGTGGTCCATAAGGCCCTATATAATCTGTCCCTATCATCTCTCCAACCTCACTTCCTCCTGCTCCCTCACTCACTGCTCCTCACTGTTCCTCACACACATTAGTCAAGGTACTGCTCCCGGACTTTGCACTTACGTGGGATGTTCTTACCCTAGTTATTCACATGGCTCACTCTCTTACTTTCTTCAGATTTTTGCCCAAATCTCACTTACCACTAAGGCCTCCCCTGGCCACTCTAAAATCTAAAGTTGCAAACTTGTCACATACATACCCCCCTCATTTGTTCTCTTGTTTTCTCTGCCCCCTCTTTCTCTCCCCCTCTCTCCCTCTCCCTATCTCCTTTTTCCTTAGCACTCATCATCATCTAAAGCACCATGTATTTTTCTGTTATTCTGTTTTGTTATGGCTCACTCCACTAAAATGTAAGGAAGTCCCATGAAGATAGCATTTTTGGCCACTACTATATTCCTAGCATCTCTACCAGTGCTTTGCACAGAGCAAGCACTCAGTATATATTTGCTAAGTTCACAAATGACATTAGGAAAAACCCAGGTACATAACTGTATTCTACACGTCCACCTTAAAGTTCTGATATGGGGGGTCTCCCTCTAACCTAGGGTGGACCCAGACCAAGTCAGCACCCACCACCCAGCCTCCCATCAGGCTGTCCATTCAGAGGCTTCCAGGGCCTGCTTACCTGAAGTGTCATCTGTGGCCATGGACGGAGAGGGGTGGGGGCCACCAGGGGACCCACTGACTCCTGGACATCAGGACTCTCTACTGGAGAGAAGAGAAGGGCAATGTTGGGGTGAGACAGGTGTACAAGCAGGCCAGGCTTGGGTAAAAAAATTTGTTCTAGCCAATAGGCTGTTTTGCCTCTGAAGCTTTCTGTGACAGTCTAAGGCAGAGGAACCTCTTAATTTGTATAGAAAGGAAAGGGGGAGGAAGAAATAAATGGTAAATGTAAGCCAAAACTCCTACCACTTGCCAACTGCTTACCCACAGCAGGGGTATTATCATCCATGTTCTTCATCCTCAGCTCTTCCTCGTTAGGCCTGTGGGGCAGAGGAGAGAATACATGGATCTGACACCCTGAGAAGCCAGTTATGCCATCCACCAGCAGCTTCTGAGCCTGACATCTGCTGTTTTCTCTTCTGCTGCCTCCTTCTATCTGGATTATAAAAGTCCTACACATTCATTGTAAAAAATTTACAAAATACAGGAAAACATAAAGCAATAAAGGGTGACATTAGCGAGAGACAACCACCATTACCATTTTAGAAAATTTCATTCCAGACATTCTAGTGTTTAGATTCTGCAGATATCATTTCACAGCTGGTTTTGTCCATCTAACAGTAAGAAGCTCCATTATATACTTCTGTAAACATTTGAAATGGCTGCTTCCTACTCCTATTATATGGGCTCACCATAAGGCATGTAACCATTCCCATCCTACTGAGCAGCTAGGTTGTTTCCTGTTTTACTTTCACAAAGCAGGCTTCAGCAAAAATCACTGGGTATAGCTTTATGAAGAACTTGGATCATTTCTTTACGGTATCTTCCTGGCTATGGAGGAACCCACCTTTTCCAAAAAAAAAAAAAAAAAAAAGGACAGGTGAGGACTGTGAGGCGCAAGAAGCAGCAAAAAGGAGAAAGTGGCTGGAGAATAGGAAAGAGATCCGCAGAAAAAGAAGTAACCCAGGGTCATAGAGGCCTGGGTCCCACTACCAACCCTCCACCCATTGCCTGGCAAGGCACCTAACCTCCCTGAGCCTCAACCCCTCACCTTAAAACAGAGCACAGGGGATCCAGGATGTGCACACCAAGAACAGGGCAGTCAAGAGAAATGAGGACATCAAGCCAGACACCAGTGCCTGGCACAGATGAGAGGCTGAATCAACTGTAGATATTTGTTGGTCTTGATCTTCCTTCACCAGGCAAATGAAACCCCAAAGTCTGAGTGGCATAAGCCAAATGTATATCAGCCAGTCCCTGCCAGGGATGCAGTCCTGAGGATCACAGGGAAATCACTGTTCTGGTTCTCACCAATAAGTATCAAATGCTTAGAGATTAAGGCAGTGAGGGAAGCATTAGTTGAAACGTGCAGAGAACTGACGTGAGCTCAGGTAACTTGATGATGTTGACATTTCTGAAAATGGTTGCAATTTTTTTGAAAACACGTAATCACAATTACCTTTACAGAAATAGAATATCACAGTAGTTACTATGGTGTTAGGCACTGTACCAAGTGTTCCACACACACTATTAATTAAATCCTCAAAGCCACCCTGATATAGGTACTTTTAATCCTCTGAAGTAGGCAATGTTTTTTAAAGATTTTATTTATTCATTTATTTATTTTACAGAGAGGGAAAGGGAGGGAGAAAGAGAGGGAGCAAAAAAATTAATGGGTTGCCTCACCCGCGTGCCCCAAAGGGGGACCAAACCCACAACCCAGGCATGTGCCCCAATCAGGAATTGAACTGGTGACCTTTCATTTTGTAGAATGATGCCAAACCAACTGAACCATACCGGTCAGGGCAGAAGTAGGCAGTATTATTATCATCTTAAGGATGATGAAATGGAAGCTGAGTAAATGGCTCAAGGTCAGTGGCAAGGATCAAAACCCAGGCCTTCCTTCTCCTAAATCTGCTCTCAACCAACAAACTGCTGCTACTTGAAGGAGGAAGACTGAGGTCTCACTCCAACCCCATCTCCATTCCTTCCCAGGAGTAGTTTGAGGAAAACAGCAATAACAGACAAGATCCCTACCTCCTCCTTCTTTCAGGCTTTTCTTTAGACCTGCCTTTTGTCCACATACTCATTCCCAGCTTCCCTGCCTTCATAGGACATGTGGCTAGGAAACCACCAGACACAGAAGCAGCTGCAAGAACTTTTTATTAGCACCCTGGGGGAGGAAACTTGAACCATATACATGAATCTAGAGCCTGGAAGCTCTGGAAGGAACTGTCTGTCTTTCTCCATCAACCAGGGCTCATGAGCCCCACCAGAGGTCTTTGTGTGAGAATATCACAGGGCCTGGAGTGGGTGACACCAGAAGCCTAGCCATCAACTCCTGCCCATCGTGGATAAGAAAGGGGATTTCAGAACAAACCAGGTGGTACTGCACCAGTCCACTCAGGGGCTCTAAAATCCAGATCTTTGGATTTGTGGCCCAACACAACTTCTGCTAACTTCTTTTGTTGATGTAGTCTTACATTAAAGAAAATATCATCTTCCTAGATCTTCTGAAGAAAGCCCCTTCAAGAAGACCCACAGACAGAGAGAAAGGCAGCCCTCCCTCCCCGATGTCCCCTGCCATCTGGCCCAGAGCTGACATACATGACAATCTGGCTTTTAAAAACCACTCCAGCGTCCTAGATGTATGTGAAAGAAAGGGTGGGGGGAGGGAGGTCAAGACAGAGCCAACCAGCAGGAAAACAACTCCAAAGTTCAGTTGAAGAAAGAAGAGAGAAAAGTACAACAAATACAAAACAAATCCTTCAGCCTCCAAAGCATCTCTTCCATACCCAAGGAGGGTGCGAGGAGGGGCAACATCCAAATATCAGGTCAAGCAATTCATCCAGCCCCAAGATCCATAAAGTAGGCAAAAGTACACAGGTCACTCCCTACCCCTGAAGTCAGAGATGAAAACAGGAGGCACAAGCACCTATTGTTCACCTCCTCCACCATGGGCCATTTTCATTGATATACCACGTCATTTGAAGACCTTCACATCTATCTTTCAAAGCAACACCCTTCCCTTTCTACAAATGTAAAAAGTGAGGCTCAAGAACCATGTCTCTACATTCACTAACTGCATACCACACTGATAATACCCAAAGGGGGCTCCATTTTGAAGTGTTTGAAACTCTGAGCTTAAAAAAAAAAAAGGAAAATCTAAATATCCTTGAAACTGTCTTTCACAGTAAACATTCAAGGGCAGCTATGACTTTAATCACGAGGATGGTGAGAGAAAGGGAGTACCGATGTATACTGACTCACTCATCAGTAACAGAGAAGAAGAATTCTTAGAAAAATGGAGGGGGGAAAGATTAAGAACAAAACTACCTCCAGTGTGCTTACTAATTTTTGAGAAGTAAACCTGCTCTTTTGGCACCAGCCCCACAAATTCCACATGGTTATCTCCTGAAGGGCAATGGGCAATAGTAGGCTGGAGCACACAGGCCTCAGGACATTTGGGACACACATCCTTCGGTTGCTCACAAACACTAGCCAAGACAGTGTAGCCCAGAAAGGGGTCTGCGCGCCAGTTGTCTGGGCTAGAAAAACTCTTCCTGCCATCAGGAAATTCAATGGCCGCTGACCTCAGATGACACCCAGAGAAACCAGGGGGTGAGATTTCAGAAAGAGGTGCCATCAGCCCCAGCCTGGGCCAGCCAAAACAGAAAAAGTGAATCTCCAGTCAGAGTGAGTGGGGACCGACAACCCCCATGGGAAAAAAAGCAAAGCAGACTTTCAGAGCACTCCCATCACTGCTATCACCACCACCCATGTCCTCCGTGAGCACCCCCAACGCTCATGTTTTCAAAGAACTTGGCCAGCCCAAAGTGGGTCATGCAATGAAACCCAAAGGGAAACTCAGCAGACCCCACCTCTCGTGCAGTCAACCTGAAGATAAGGCTGACTATAGGGGGAGGGGGGGGACGAGACAGGTGGCTTCAGAATTCAGAAACCTGCCCTGTGATACTTGGAATCCCAGTTACCCTGAGCCATCTGCTTTCTGAAAAGCACAGGGTTTGAAGGCGCCTGTGAAAGCCACCAAGTTATGTGGGGCATTGCTCTCTTTCCCAGCTAGTGTCAGTGTCAATTGGGATTTCAGGACAATCCAGCAGGGTAGAGGGAAGAGAGTTTATTGTGCTGTGAGCTTCTTTACAGCAGTAACTTCATTCCACCATGACCCACAAGAAATACATTGTACATCATAATCCAGCACACCCCATGCATGTGTGAATACATATACATACTTAACTGAGAAACTTACCTTTAGTACATTGTGATGCACTGATTATCCCCTATGCTATTTTTTAAGTGTTTGTTGGAATCTAGTAAATTGACTTCACCTCTTAACCAAGGGTCATGACATGTAATTTTGAATAAACCCAACTCTGCCACCTACCAGCTGTGTGACCTAAACCTCTCTATGCCTCAGTTTCTTCATCTGTGAAGAGGGAATAATAGTAATACCTACCTCAGAGAGCTACACTGAGGAAGTATGGAAAAATCGCCTATGAAGTGCTTAACAGTAATCTCCACTTTCCCACTGAGGGAAACTGAGGCTCTAAAAAGGAAAGTAACTTGCCCAGCATTGCCCAGCTGGTAAGACAACATCAACTAACCTGATACAGCAGATGAAAACTGGGCCACTAGAGCAGGACTGCCCCAGCACAGATCCCAGCTCTGCCACGTTTGTAGCATGTGGCCTCGGTACCACGTCCTTAACTATGTTGCCCTACTAGTTTTCTGTGGAATAAAAGAGGATCACATTTACACTAAGTCCTCACTCTCTAGACAACTAAAGATGACCCCTGGCCAATGCTGTTTGACTTTGATTGTTCTGGTTTCCCCTAAGGCTACCAACTTGGTAAGTAGGTTGTGTTCCCATCCATTCAGTACAGGTGCACCTAAAAAATCATTGAGGCCTTACTGTGCATCCGCCCAGTGACAGATCCTGGAGACACAATGGTGAGCAAACCAGACTAGGAAGCTTACAATTTACTGTGAAGGAAGACATTTAAAAAAAAAATACTCACACTCATTCTTTCAACAAACATTTATTGAGTACCTGTTAAGTGCCAGGCACCATGGCAGGCCCTGCAGGAATACAGAGGTGAATAAAAACGGACCATGTCCCTACCCCTCACGGAGCTTACAGTCTAGCAGGGCAGAGAGGGTCATCCAATAATCCCCTAATGAAGGTCTAACTACAAACTGAGGTCAGTGCCTTCTGAAAAGGAAGGAATGTCCTAGAACAAGGGGACCCTGGCCCACACTGCAGGTCAGGGAGTGCTTAGGATGCTTAGGAGGAAAACAAGCAAGGGAGGAGTAGAGGAGTGAGAAGCTGCTCAGAACACTTTGCAGGAAGTAATGAATTCAGCCTTGAACAAGAAGGAGTTTGAGGCATCTTTGTGACATCAGCCAAGTGGAGGCATTGAGTTTGAATATATGAGGCTAAAAGAAAGAGCAAAGAAAAAGAGGAGGACCAGGGAGTTAAGAGGAAAAGCAGCAGAGTGAGATCCCAAGGCAAGGGAATAAAGCATTTTAAATAGGAATGCTTAACCACTTAAGAAGAAAACCAAAAACCCACCTATGGAATCTGAGATGCAGTGGGCTGAAGCAAGTGGAAAAACAAGTGTAGGCAACTCTTTAGAGGGGGGTCGAAAATGAAGGGGAGGATGATTAGATGCTGGTCAAGAACAGTGTGAACAGAAGTGGGACCAAAGGACAGATTTTTAAGGCAGCAGACATGCTAGCATGTATAAAGGCCAATAGCGGATCAGGTAAGGAGAGCAGTGAAAAGCTGCTGGGAAAGAAAGAGAAACTGATTATGTCAGGTTCTGGAGCAAATGGAAGAGAATGGAATCCAGAGAATAAGTGGAGGAACTGGCACGAGGGGAGACAAAGCCCCCTACTACCCTGTAACACAAAGGAGAGAAATCAATTTTCAGGCATGGGGGCTGCAAGTTGTGGGGAGTTCCACTCTCATGGCTTCCATTTGTTTTTTTGTTTGTTTGTTTTTGTATTTTTTGAAGCAGGAAGTAAAGTCTGAAGGTAAAGAACATTTGAAAGAAACACATCATGGAGGAGATAAGAATGGATCATAAAAACAGAACTGCCAGGCAGGGTGGAAAATGATTCTGAATTTGTGATGACACTCATCTGCTCTCCTACACAACATTCTCTAACAGGGCTTGCCTGCTGGGCATTATGAAAAAAATCGGGACCTGAGGACATTGGAATGAACAGGCCTCCTGGAGGAAGCACTCTTAGAACTGAAGGATCAAAACAAGGAGACTTCAAGGGGCACAGGACCAACATTCCTGGTGACGAAAGCAGTATGGACAAAGGCCCTGATGCAAGAAGGGGCAAGAATCCTTGGAAAGATCATCGTGATAGGAGCTCAGAAGGCAGAGGGCAGCATGAGATGAGGCTAGCAGCCAGAGGCCAGACTGGGGGAAAGGGCAGGAGGTGCCTGAAGGCCATGCTAAGGCTTTCTTGGTCTTTGTCTTTAATAATACGACACCTCCTAAGGGTGTTGAACCAAGGCAGATCAGGAGAGCTCCTCCCCACACCAACCCTGGGACTTTGGACTTGGGGAACCTCAGTTTGCTCCTGTGGGAGGGGGGAGATAAACCAGTCTATCTCACACCAGAACATTGAAAGGATTTAGATGACTCTGAATATTCAAAGGATTAGATGACACTTTGCATGCAAATAGCCAAGTGCCTAGACCTCTTCCAAATCTCAAATGACAAGCCCTCTACCTGTCCCTTTCCACCCAGTTCCACCACAAGCCCTCTGACTTCTCAGTGCCAGTCTGCATCTTTATCCTTGTACGAACCTAGGACTGTGCCCAGCACATAGTAGGCCCTCAATAAATGCTTGCTGATGGATCATCTCTAAGCCGAGGGTTATCAAAAGCCTGGTCAAGCAACTCAGGGAATGCAGCCATTTCAGTTTCTGAGCTGTACCCCAATGGCTACCATCAACTTCTCTTGTGCTTCCATGTGGCTGCACCTGGTGCACAGTGGGCCTGCAGTCATCACTTCCTGAATGGGAAGACCTCTACAACAGGGCTCCAGCAGGTTAAGGCTATCTTCTGAGATCCTCCACCATTTCCAAGAGGAGTGAGTCTCAGGGGGCAGCTGTTCTTCAACAGCGCTCCAAGTCATCGGCAGCACACAAGTTTTAAAACAATAATAAGTTGAAATGTACTCACCAAGAAAGCCACCAACCTACAAAGAAAATCTTATCGCTGATCTTGCAATGAGCACCAACCTCCCTTTGCAAGAGCTGAGATCAAAAGATAAAGAAGCTATCAAAAAGCCATCTGCCCACTTAAAATAATATCACAAGTCATGTTAGGAACCACAGACCTGGGGCCAGATACCAAAACAATTGTCTGAACGGGCTGTTTCAATTTCTCCTTAAAACCACCCATGTATTTTAAAAGAAAAACACCCTCTCCACCCACCTTGGCCCTGCGAGCTTTTGATTTCTCTGTTCCCTTCCTTTCACACTCTAAAATGACCAAATTCCATTACCCAAACTGTTGCGTCTTACAGACAGGGCTCCCATGACAGCTGGCCAGGGTGATGACTTAGGAAAAGGTGATTGTGGGACACTGGAACAGCTCAATATCTTGGATCTGGGTAGTGGTTACACAGGGCATAGATATGTAAAAACCCATTGAGCCCTACACTTAAAATCAGTACACTTTAGGTAGTTATCCCTCAATAAAGCAAAAAACAAAAACAAACAAAACCGGAAGAGCAAAGCATAATATGCTGGGAATACCAGGAGCAAAATGCAGAATTTGCCGAGTCCTATCAGGCCTTCAAGAGAAACCACTTTAAAAAAAAAATTGCCCCGGTCCCTTCACTCACTAGCTGAGTGAAACTGAACAAACTGGCTTACCTCTCTGAGCTACCGCTTTCCCCCTCTATTAAATGGGCATAACCATAGCACCTATAGCACACAGCATGCACAGTAACAGGACTCAGAAGAGAATGGACTCAAAGCTCTCAGCACAGATATTAGTACATGCTGGCCACTGTTATCTTTTGCAGCTACTACCAAGCTTCAGTTACCTTGCCAATGTTTGCTGCATCCAATCCAACCATAGTGACTGTCATTCTCCTTTAGCAGATGAAAATACTGAGGCAAGGACACACAGCTGGTGACAGGTAAAGCACAGTTTGGGAGGAGAATCCAGGGAACTGTATGTGTGATTAAGTACTAACACTAGCTAACCCCTGTATGGCACTACTATGAGCCAGGCTAGACTCTGAGTGCTTTTACTCACCTCCTGCGAAGTAGGTATAATTATTTGTTTTACAGATGAGAGACACAATACAGTTGGCCAAGGTTACAAGGCCAATATAATGGCAGATCTGGGATTTGAATTAAGTACTGATGCCAGAATCTATACTCATAATTAACACTGTAAGGAAAGCCTTAGTGCCTGCCCCTTTAGACTAAGTTTCAGGTTACTATGGGTCTCATAGGTCAGCAAGTGGGTGCTTGCCTGTTTGCTTAAGTACCCAGGCACAGCTGCCCACCAACTGAGCTAGGTCATTCTGAACAACCCATAGCATAGGATGCACGAACATCTTGCATCCAGAGGCTTTTGATCCAGCATATACAAGGTCCAAAAAGCACTTTCCCATTCCCATTTCCAGTCTTCTCATGACCAGGGAAATGTATGTATTTCCCACACGTGCATGAAGGATCAACTTATCCCAGACTAGACTTAGGTGACCCCCAAAGAATCAGGCCTATCTGCTAGAACTTGAAGAATTCAAAGCTTGATAAGAGAAAACCTAGGAGAATCTTGTATCAGGGCTTTTGGGGGTTAACCGGCTCTTTTTACCAGGTGGCATGGCAAAAACAAAAGACAAGAGCTTCAAGTACAGTCCCATCTCATTCTGCCTCTGCCATAGCCAATGCTTCTCTGTGTGAAGATGGGCTCAGCCACTCATCTCCACAGGAGGCCTCAGACTTGATTAGAGCATAACAGTAAAGAGAGGGCACAGGCTTCAAGGTTAATCATGGCCAAAACGGAAAGGCCAGGCACCATCACTTTCTCTCTCTGGAGCCCTGGTTTCCTGCTCTGTCAAATGGGGGTCAGATTCCCTGCCCCATAACTAGCAAGACCCCTCCTCCACAGTTCTCTCCACTCCATCACATGGCCTATCATTCACACCAAGTTTACGCCTACCCCAGGACCTTTGCACTTGCTGTTCTCGCTGCCTAGAACACCCTTGCTCCCATATGTGTACACAACTGCTCTTCTTTATCATTCAGGACTGTTTAAATGGCACCTCCTCAGAAAAGTCCTCCCTGTTTCCTTTTCTACACTCTCTTCCTCCGTATCTGTGCATAATTCTTATCATCATCCAGGACTCACCTTCTCAAAAGCCCTCCCTGAATATCCTAAGACAGGCATTCCCTCCCAAACTTTCTCCCCTTACTCAATTTTACTTTCCTCTCAGCAGCTAACCTTATCCCTATATTCCTTATCTGCTTGCTTGTTTTTTCCAACTGTCTCCCATAGGAACCTGTATGATCCTTGAGGGCAGGAAAGATGTCTTGTTAGGGATTTACAGTGGAATTCAATAAATGAATGAGTAAAATCCCAGCAATACAGAGCCTAGCACATGTTCGGCCTCCATTACTCTTTGACTGGCTGACTGAATGTGCCCTCCTCCCTGTTCTGGAAAGCAGGACCGAGAGGTTCCTGGGTCAGGATGCTTGTCTTCCATCCTAGACACAGCCCTGCGTTGGCGGAGGTGGCGCTGGCAGACATTACCTGCGCCTCACTGGCTTCATGCAGCTCTTCAGCTGCCTGGCCTCAGCCTCCACGGGCCCCTGGGACTCGGGCTGTGGCTCCAGCTGTGGCAGCTGCTGCTGCTGGGGCAGCCCTTCAGCATCAGTGGGTGTGGGGGCGGGTGCGATCCGGAGCAGGACTGTGTAGTTGCGGCCGTGGTTGTTAGCCCAGAAAGTGCCCTCGGGGGTCTCATAGCGCACCACGAAGTCCAGGCGCGCCCCATCGCCCGCCCCCTCAGCAAAGGGCAGCTGGAAGGCAAAGCGGTCGGTGCAGCCGCCGTCGTCGGGCGAGGATGCGGACGCCTGGCCGGAGACCAGGCCAAGGCCCGGATCCAGGATGGGATCTCCTGTTCCTGGTCCTCCCGCTCCTGCCCCCGGCGGGCTGCGCGGGACGTAGCGCGCTGGGTGGTCGCAGAAGGAAGCCCAGCCGTCGTGTGAGGCCCGCACGTGCACCGCCTTCTCAAAGGAGCGGTTCAGCACGCGCACCAACCCGCGCAGCACAGGTGGGCGCCCCCCCGGCACCCACACCCCGGCACCCCCGGGGACCGCTCCGGGAGGCGGCAGCAACGCCTCTAGCTCCACCATGACGCGCCCCAAGCGCTCCAGACGGCCCGGTGCAGGCGGCAGCGAAAATGTGGGCACCAAGTAAAAACCCCCGCCAGTGGGGACGGGGCACAGCGGTGCGGGCTCGGGGCAAGCCTCCTCTTCCTCCTCCCCTTCATCCCCATCCTCGCCATCGTCGTCCTCGTGAGCCCCGCCGCCATCGCCATCTTGCCCGGCCACCGCCGCCATCTTGCCCGCCCCGGGCCCGCCCCACGGCCGGTAGCGGCGCAGCTGCGCCAGCGGCAGCCCCAGGGCCTCATCGGCGAACAGCACCCTCCGCGGGGCCACCGCTGCCTCGACAGAGGTGCGGGGCTCGCCCGCGGCCGGCGAAGGGGGCGCAGGAGGCCGCAGCGGGGGCTCCACAGGGGCCGTGCGCGCCATATCGGCGGCGGCCGGCACCGACGGCACCGGCGGCGGTACCGGCGGGGGCAGGGCCTGAAGAGGCTAGCAGCCAATGGGAAGGCCCGAGAGGGGGCGGGGGCGGCTCTCGCGGGCCGTAAGCAGCTAGATGAAGACAGGTGTATCAGACAGCCAATGGGGAGCCGCACATTGGTGATGGAGGCGGTGTATCGAGTGGAGGAGAAGCACGTAGCCAATAGAAAAGCCCGAGAGTGGGCGGTGTAGGAGGCGGGAGAGGAATCAATGGAGAAACCTGAATAGGGTGGTGTAGGGTCTGAGATAGAGAAGTGGGACAGCTAATGAGGAAGTATGAGCGGCATTGGCATCGAGACGGCGGGGAAAATAGAATGGCTACAAGCGATGGGGGCCGCAGGCAGCGAACAGAGAGGTCCAAAGAGCAGGAGATCCCAGTTGCGTAGGCAGGTAGTGGGATCCAAGCTAGAGACAGAGAACAACCAATGGGGAGTCACGCGCCGAAGGCGTAGAGACGGGGTGACGATAATGGCCAATGGGGGTTCTTGTGAGCGTGCACAAGTCTTCAAGGGGCGGAGCCAGGGCGGAACTAGCCAATATGGAGGCTACAAGAAGCCTGGGAGGCGGTGTGAGAGTGCCTAAGTGGGAGGGGCAGAACCAATGAGGGTGGGTGGTGAAGGAGGGAGCAAGGAAGAGAGATGGCAGATAGCCAGTAGGGGAGCCAGAGCTAGGTGGAACCCTCAAAGGGCAGTGTAAAGTGACACCGGGGAAAGACGTGAAAGAGCAGAGCCAACCGGAGTGTTATAGGTGGTGTGAAGGAGATGAGTAAATAGAGAAGCCAGAGAAGAGGATAGTGCATAGGAGTCTGTGGGCTGTAAGGTAGTCAAGCAACAGAATTATGTAATGCCTCTGGTGAAAGCATTTACCTTCTCCCTAACCTTCCGGGACTCCCTATTGCCCCTGAGCTGTGAATTCCCACAGACCCTGAAGACCTAGCCTGCACCCTTGTGCGAAATCTAAGAAAGCAAAAACGGACTCTCCTGTCAAAGTTACTGGATGTCTTCGGCCCACTTCCAGGCCTTTGCTTGAGTGCCACTAGCCAAGAATGCTCCTGATACTGTCATCCTCAGCATCCTCCAGGACTTGGCACCATTACTGAATGAATGGCCAAGTGAGAAATTGGACTTTTTTTTTTTTTAAGATTATTAGCTTTTTCTAACCAGCTCAGCAAAAACACTGAGCCTCGCTATGCCACCAAGAATTGATTGGGCATCTTGGCAGACACTAACGTAATCACAAATTCAAGCCCTGTCTTTCTTGCCCGATTTGGCCCTCCACACCCTGCAGTAGCCTCACTTCCTTTCTGTCTCCATCTCTTCTACTCTTCCCTCTCCCAAGAGCACCGTTCCTTCTGCTTCCTCCATCTAATCAACTACTTCCACTCTCCCTTTGAGGTCTCACCTGTGGGAAACCGAACTGTAGCTCTTTTCCACTGAACATGTCCAATCATACATTTCCCCTCCGTCCTGGGAGGATTTACTGAACACCTACTGTATGCAAGGTTTTGACCCACAGCATCCCTAGAAGGAAGGCAGTCTCCCCAGCAGTCGCCTTCCTCCCCTTCTTCCCCATGTCTCAGTGTCCAGGGGTCATGGGTCAGGGAGGAATATGTTCAGCTGCAAGAAACATAAAAATTATGAAATAATAAAAGCTTAAATGAGATACAACTTTATTTTTTTATCACCTAAAAGTCCAAGCTGGTGAGTAGTCCAGGGACTTCTTCCTACCTACCCAGTTAGGGCATTGTGTGTGTCCAAGTCTAGCGCCCAGACTCTCATTCTTCAATAGATCCTATCAGCTCTCCATTTACAATATTTCCCAAATCCACCCTTTCTTTACACACTCCACTGCCAACACCATCGTCAGTCATCTGAACTATTGAAGTAGCCTCCCTCTCTCTGGTCTCCCTACTTCTACCCTCACTACTATAGTCAGTTCTATACTCAGCAATCAGAGGAATCCTGTTAAATCCCAAGACAGTTCATGTCTTTCGTCTGCTCACAATTCTGTGGCGTCCTCCCCACTCAGAATAAAAGCCAAGGTCCTTACCATGGGCTACAAGATCTTGCATCAGATAACCCCTGTCCACTCTCTGGCCTCACCTCCCACCCCTCTTCCTCTCATTCACACTACTCTGACCATACCAACCTCCTTAGTAGACCTTAAGCAAATCAGGCATACTCCCACGTCAAGGCCTTCGCACTGGCTATTTCCTCTGGAATTACTCAGATGTCTACATGGCTCCCTCCCTTATTTCCTTCAAGTCTTTGTCAAAGCCCCCCTTCTCTGGAAATTTTTCACCCACTACTTTGTTTAATCCTGCCCACTCTCCTTCCGAAGCCTTCATGTGAGAGGATGTAGTCCCGTACAGAGAAGAGGTGGTGAACTCTGCCCCTCTCTGCCTACCTGACCCCCAGCTCTCTGCAAGGATCCTGGCTCTTAGCAGCAGCAGCAGCAGCAGCATCACACCTCCCCACCCTGAGGCCCACTCAGGTAGCCTCCTGAGACTCTTTGGGCCACTGCTCTCACTCAGTTTTCCACCTATTTCTCTGGCCACTCCTCTGACAGTAAGGGAGAGATGGTCTGAGAGGGCATAAGAGGGATTCATCCCATACCGTTAACCCTGAAAGAGAAAACTAGCCTCTTCTCTCACGAGGGGCAGTACCTGGGGCAGAGAATGAGACCTTGGCTTCTAGAATTGGCATGGTTAATAGTTACACAGCAGTTGTAAGAAATGTTCAGGCCCAAGTCCACAGGGACTAAGGGGTCATTAACCTTGGGGACATCTCTAAAGTTAGCTTCCCAGGACTCCTTTTTGACAAGCACACTCCTCCCCCCTCTCTTGCTCCAAAGTATAAGCCACATCTGTTGAGGCCCTGCTGTGCACAGGGTCCCTGCAGGTCTCAACCTAAGGACCTCATCCCACCTTGGTGCATCCCTTGGATGCCTGGCCCTCAGGACATCTTTGGGTCGCAGTCGTGTCCCACAAACTCAGAAGCCTCAACCAGTGAAAGTTGTTTTGAAGTAATCGTAGGGAGGGTTGGGTTTGTTTTTTTTTTAATTGTCATTGTAGGCTGATTTTTTTTTAGGTCTTTTTTTTTTCTATTCACCTTTTTTTTTTTTTTTTTTTTCTTATCTTCACAAAGCCAGGCCATCAGGCCCACTCTGGGCATTTCCAGAAAGGTGAGTCTGAGTTGAGGAAAGACGCTCTCCTTTTTTTTTTTTTTTTTTTTTTTTTTTTTTTTGAGGGCTTGGGAGGTAAAAGGGAGGAAAGGAGGCAAAGGGTGGGGTGGATCTTGGCCACTAGGCTTGTACCATGTGAATAAAAGCTGTTTCCAATTTCTCTTTCCCAGGCCTGAAACCACTCTTGCAGATGGGTTGGAGTGAACAGTGGATGACAGAATCCCGGGCCATGCAGGGTGCTGGGGAACTGGGGACTGCGAGTTTCAGCCATGGCCTCTCAGGAGAAGCCCCTGGACACAGGCCTCCCCTATTGAGCACTGGTTGGAGGGGGTGCTTACTGAGGTGAGGAAATGCAGCCACCAATTCTTAGACAACCTTAAAACTGCACAACCTTCAAGCCCCCCAGAAGAATCTCAGAACCTCCCTGTCATGGCATCCTAGAATTTAAAACCTGAGACTGTTGGGCTCAGGTTGGGAATTTAGGGGTTTCAAAGCCTGGTACTAAGGAAGGCAGTGCCTCCGCTCACCAGCTCTGTGATCTGGGACAAGTTTTTTGACTACTTTGTGCATCTTCTCCACCTGTATAAATAACGGCCATGATGACAAGATGGACCTCAACAGGCTTTGGTGAAGTTTGAACGTGACCACTTCTGAGAATTGTTCAGCACTGTGTCTGGCACATAGAGAATTCGAGATAAATCTCAGCAACAGGGATGTTGGCAGATGTTTGGAATCCTAAAACCTTGGAAAATGGGATTTTTTTTTTTTGAAGTAGAAAATCGCAAAGGCTGAGGACTCAGAAGCATCAGTCCCTGACTACATGAGGGCTGAGCTCTGTGAGGACGGGTGCATTAATACTGGGGTCCTGGTCAGGACTTTCCCTGTAGGGTGGCCTCTGGGTCAGAGCTCTCAGGCCCTGAGAGATGATGAAACAAGACTTTACTCTCTGTCCTCACCCAGTGATGCTCAGTGGATTCTGGAAGCCAGTGGTTCTGACTCTTTGATTCTGCTAATTGTAGGAGGTGGGGAGGACTCCCTGCTTTTTTCTTCATAAAGTAACTTCTGTGCCCCTCACCCTCTATGGAAAGAAGGGTTGCAAGCATGTTCAGAGCTCCCCGTCCGTGGGCAGTAAGACTGGTGATGACCATATCAATTCTGCCTAAGAGGAAAACTGAGGCCTGGAGCAGGGCAAAGTCTCTGGAAACCCAGTCTTATTCCCTTTCCTGGTGTTTCCCATTCACACAGGGCTTCGGTGCCTCCCTTTCTTTTCCCAGAGACCCTCAAATATCCTCTCATTCACAGAGTAGCATCTCTGTATGCCTGTGATGCCCCTGTGATTTACTTGAGTTCTTTTCCCTTGTTTTTTTTTTCCTAACTATACACACTTTTGTTTTAAAAACTGTGGTTTCTCATGAGTCCTGTTATCTCATTGATACCTCTCACCTCTGTGGTGAGGGGAAGAAATCATATTTTCAGATGAACCTTAAAGGGCAAAGAAAAAAACCAAAATTTCCGTTTAAGTCTCATAATCAAGAAGAGGAGAAACAGAGCGAGAGAGAGAAAACTATGAGAACCCCCCCTCCACCCCGTGATTATCAGCGCACACAGTCATCGAAAAAAAATTGGATTATTAGAAGAGAGAGGTCTGTGGCTTCCACACCGTGGGTTTTCTTCTCGGTATAAAAGCAAAGTTGTTTTTGATATGTGACAGTTTCCCACAAGCCAGGCTGATCCTTTTCTGTCAGTCCACTTCACCAAGGTGAGTGTCCCCGCTCTCCCCCACCAGATGCGGGTCCAATGGAAGAGATGACAATGAGGTAGGCATTGGAGGGTCAGGGGTTCTCCAGTATAGTACTAACGCATGCAGCTACTGTGATCCTGGTGAGGTAAGATTTTTTTTTTTACAATAATAATAGTAATAATAAATGCCAGAAAACTGATAGGTAAAGTACTTAAGCAATGTTTGGGTGGAGGCAAAGATAAGTAAATTGATATGTTGATAGGTAGGATTTCTTTAAAGATTTTATTTATTTTTAGAGAGAGGGGAAAGGAGGGAGAAAGAGAGGGAAAGAAACATTGATATGTGAGAGAAACATTGATCAGCTGCCTCTCACGTGCCCCTAACCGGGCACATGGTCCCCAACCCAGGCCCGTGCCCTGACTGGGAATCGAACTGACAAACCTTTTGGTCCGCAGACTGGCGCTCAATCCACTGAGCCACACCAGTCAGGGCGAATTTTTAAAATATGTCAACTGCCAATCTTTATGAATTTCAGAGCTTTACACAATTTGAAACACTATCCACATATGCCTGGAAATTTCAACTACATCTCTCACCTCTCTTCATCTCTTCTATCTTGATATCTCCCATCCCTCTCCCTCTATTAGCCCTGTCTCACTCATTCTGTGTTTTTCTGCCCCTCTCTTTCTCTGTTTGTATGCCTAGCACTCAGAGTCTCCGTCCTTCTGTCTTTATCTGCTCTGACCATTTTCCCTGTCTGTTTCCTCCATCTTGACCACACTCCTTCGGTCTCTTTTCCTCAGTCTTTCTCCCACCATCTCTCCTGCTCTCTTGTCTTGCTTTCCCCTGTCTGCCTTCCCACCCAGCATACAGCACAGAACTTTATACACAGTTGGCGTGCAATAATAGTGTGTTATGTTGATGAGGACACTTAAATTTTCTAAGAATGAGCATCAATTCTGTTTGCTCCAATCAAAGATGGATTGTGAGTATCGGGTCAGGCTCAGTACTTATCTGAACTTGTCCTTGCACTGTATGATAGGAGACCTTCCTGGGGAACACTTCAGGCCATTGTCAACCATGGTTTAACTGTGTGGTCCTCGTCCCAGGATCATGTGTGTGTGTGTGTGTGTGTGTGTGTGTGTGTGTGTGTGTTTGTCCAGAGTCCGTGTCCAGGAACAGAACAGGCTGTTCAAGGCTGGAGTAAGCTTGTCTCTGCAGGCTTAACAAGTGCTCACTGTTAGTCATTAGTGGTTTTTTTTAATGAAATTAGAATCATGCTCTCTACTGGCTTTGTTCCTGCTTTATTCAATAAATAGGGGCATTTTTTAGGTCATTAAAAAGTTGTTTCAACAAATGATCTTTCATGGCTGTCAAAACTGACCTCACTTTGGCATGAACCATAATTGGTTACACCAAATGCCCATCTTTGGATATTTGGGTTGTTTCTAGTTTTTCCCATAATCATCCCTGATTAGTTCCTTGGATTCCTGAAAATGGAGTTGCTGGGGCAAAGGTTTCTGACCCTCTCTGCAAATAGTTCTTCTAAAAGGTTGTTCTGTTTTATGCTTCCTCTACTCAAGCTAACCTTGGGTGGGTATTATCATTTTTTAACCCTTTCTCAACGTTACAGGTAAGAAAAAATACTACCACATTGCTGAAATTTACATTCTTTGATTACTTATGCTATTTATTGACCATTTGTGCTTTTTGGGTGTCTGGTGTCCTTAGTCCTAATAGGGTGTTCATCTTTTTTTCTTATTGATTTATCACATTTAGAAAGGATATTTATTTAGAAAGGATATTAACCTATCAGCCATACCTATATAGCCAATATTTGCTTTTTCTATTTGTTCACAGCGTTTTGTGATACTTGTGATGTTTTCATATAGTCAAATAAGTTAGTCTTTTCTTCTGTGGTTACTGTCTCTGGTTTTGTGCTTAGAAAGTCCTTCCCCACTTGAAAATGAGATAAATGTTCACATGTGTTGGCTTCTAGTCTCTTTTATGGCTTCATTTTTTCCATTTACTGTAGAGGTTAAGACTGTCTGGGACAAACCAAGCCTTACTCCAACACATCTGTATGAATTTTAACCAGGCTTTTAAATTCTCTGTACCTCCATTTCCTCATACATACTGCGATGGTTATAATAGTACCTACCTCAGAGATGGTTGTGAGGATTAAATCTATTAACCATGTTAAGTACTTAGCATAGGGCATGGAAAACAATAAACCCAAGGTCCATGTTAGATATTATTACTTACCTTTTCAATGGATCCAGAATTTATTTTCAGATGTATGATGATGCTGACATTTCAAACTGGGCAGGGAGGAGTTAGTGGGGAAATGGACTGATTATTCATTCAATAATTTTATTTTTCCCTTAATTATCCCAGAAGCATGCGTTAACCAATCTGTCCTACACTGTCCCCCAGTCTGAAATGCCACATCCATCACAAACTCCATTCCCTCTAGCTATGGGTCTGTGTTTGAGCTTTCTATTGTTCTGTTCCCTTGGTGTCTGCTCTGTACCAGAACTACACTGCTTTGCTTTGCTGATTGTTGCTTTGCAATACCATACCATACCATACCTAGCCCTGGGTGTAGCCTGCACCTTGCCCTTTGTCATTCCTCATCGTTTCAGGCAGCATCGGTTCCTCCAGGCAGAGGCCAGCAACTGTTCTTATTTAGGGCACATCTCTCTCTCTCTCTCTCTCTCTCTCTCTCTCTCTCTCTCTCTCTCTCTCTCTCTCTCTCTCTCTCTCTCTCTCTCTCTCTCTATATATATATATATATATCTCCATCCTATGGGTCCCACACACACCCTCTGTCTCTCCTTTTCTCATTCTCTCATTCTCTTTGTATCTACTCTTTGTTTATCTCTGTCCCACCTCAGGTCTCTCTCATCTCTATCTGTATCTCTTTTTCTCTGTGTCTCTCCCTTCCCCTATATCTGTCTCTTTGTTTCCATCTCTATGTATCCCTGTCTCTCAGTCCCCTGGATAGAGGGGCAGTTGTCAACTTGAAGCTGTATAGACAACTAACAACTCACCCTGACAGAGTGGAAGGGCCCTGGCCCTCACCTACTCCACATTTCTCCCTTTCCCAGAATACAAGAGGAGGAAATTTAGGCCCAGGGATGGGTGGGAGGGCCTCTCCCAGGTCCTCACAGAGATGCAGTGGCAGAGCTGAGACCCAAGCTTAGATCTTAGGACTCTCAGCGGGACCCTGGCACGTGCGCTCACGCTCTCCCTCCCCCCTCCACTATAGGCCTCAGTTACCTCTCAGCATCCATGAGTGGGGAAGGGGACCTGCGCTGCTCCCCAGTAGCTGCTATTCCCCATTCTGCCTTCTCACAGGTGGAACCCTCACTGAGGCAGAAGGATCCACAGTCACAGTGTGGGGCTCAGCCTCCCAAGAGTTAGGCTGCATGGGGTTCTGGGACCCCGTGGGTCAAGAGGCCTTGTGGGAAAAGGGTAGTGTTACTGGGAGGATGTCAGTCAATGGGTCTGGCTATGGACAGAGTTCAGCCATGTCCCCATAGTTGGCACTGGTTCCTGGGAACCTCCACCCCAGGGCCCTTCCAGAGAGCCTGGTGGTGGGATCTCTATGGCAAAGGCCAGGGCTTTCTCTACTCCCCACCATGAGGCCCTCACCAAAGGTGTGCCAGCCTCAAACTCCCCTGCCTTCCATCCCCATCTCTGGCAGAGTAGCTATGAGTCTGGGAACATTGTCCCAGAATGGACAGGGAGACAGACAGAGGCCCTTCAGTGCCCATTCACTGATCACTGACATTTTGCTAAGTGTTTCATGTGCATTAACTTTGGAAGATGGGTACTGTTATTGCCCAATTTACATATGAGCCTGAGGAGAGTTGTACCTGGTTAGTGGCAGAGCCTGGCCGCAGGCTGGGAGAAGTAAAGGGGGTAATTCTGCCTCCACAGAACTTAGGAGGGAGGCTGGAGGAAGGTTTACTGCAATTCCAGGCCTGGTAGGTGGGAGGCCTCATGAAGTAGTGAGCTTTCTGTCCTTCAGAGAGTTCCAGTGAGTCTGAATACCAGGGACATTGGCCTTCACATACTGAGAGGTTGGACCTATGGGTCCCAGAGAGTCTGTGGGTTTGAGATTCTGGGATCCTTTGAATCTAAGAAATGATATTCTGTGATTCTAAGGTTCTGGCATAGTACTATTTGAAGACCCCGAGGGTCCCAGAATCTGTGGGATCTGCATGGCACTCCCCAAGCATCAAATCTTGGGCCTATTCTTGACTGAGAAGGGCCAGGTCTGCAGGTCCCAGGGCTTGTCATGGTGGCCAGATGGACGTCACTCACCACATCCGCCTGCACCCACATCACCACACCTGGGCCAAGCCAGCTGCAGGATGGGCCAGCCAATTCTCGGAACGAAACCCGTGGGGTGGGGTGTCTGGCCCCTTTGTCTTCCTCCTTGGTGCCGATGAAGCCCGGCGCATCCGGCCGCCATGACGTCAATGGCGGAAAAATGTGGGGAAGTCAGAGGCTCTGACAACAGGGCCCAGATGCAGACCCCGATATGAAAACACAATCTATGTCCCAGAAACATCCTCCATGCGTCTTCTGAGAAATAGTCAGAAAGGGACGCCCCAACAGACAGTGCAGGAAGCTGGCTGCCCAGCCCGGCCCTCCAGTACCCCACCACCAGACAGACCATATCCATGTCCCCTTTCTGAGAATGTATCTCTGCTTCCCTGAGTCAGGCCATTCCAGATGTGTTTGAATAGGAGATTTCTTATAAGCTCTGGCCAAGTGTCCAGGCAGCTTCAGAAGTTGCCATAGGCCAGCTGTGTGGACCAAACCAAAGTAGTGGAAAACATCCGCTCACTCGCCATAATTGGTACTAGTTTGCTCGGCTTCTGTAACAAAGTACCACAAACTGGTTGACTTAAACAACAGAAATTTATTGTCTCAGTTCTGAAAGCCTGAAGTCCTAGACCAAGGTGATGACAGGGTTGCCTCCTTCTAGGGCTATGAGGAAGAAAGTGTTCATGCCTCCCTCCTAACTTCTCATGATTTGCGGACAATTTTTGGCATTCCTTGACTTCTAAGCATCACCCTGATCTCCACTTTCATTCATTCACTCATTCCTTCACTCACCTCCTCATGGTCACTGATATTCTCTCTGGCCCTTGTTTTGAGCCTTCACAGCCCCAGGCTCCTATTTCCCACACAGTATTGTTCTAACCCCCAGGGGAAACTAAGAGTTGAATATCTGAGTTTTCACCCCCACCTCCCTCAGCACCACAGCTCTGACAACCCACATGGGCTGATAGCAAAGAAAGGAAGGAGCAACTTCTCCCCCAGAACCCTTCTTGTACTCCCTTGGACTGTTCTCAGCAGCTGTGTGCCCAACTGTGTGCTGTGGGGTGGGGCAGGGAGACACACACACAGCCCCACAGCAGGGGACCTGTGTAACGTGCGCACACACGTGCCCTTTCTGGAGAGAGAAGTAGAGCTCTCAAATCACAATGAGATTGTGAAATGCTGCATCTGGTTGTCCCCTTCAAGAAAATGGAGGTTGGATTAGACATTCACTTCCAGCTCTGACTTCCTCTCAGGCTGGGATTCCAGGATTCTGAAAAACCAAGGCCCTACCCATTGCAGAGTGTGGGGTTCTGGAGCCATTATGGAGGGCTTTCTGGATTGACCTTGGATAGGGAAATAAGAAGAGCAGGCATTCCAGGCAAGCCAAACTGCATGAGTAAAGGCTTGGAGGTTGGCTGGGGATAAATTCCAGTGCGGGCTGAGTCAAGGAGCTTCCACAGGCCCCAGGTCAAGAGAGATAATCTCTCCTCCTCCCTGGCACCCTCCATGCCAGCTCCATGCAGGGCAGATCCCAGAAGTGACCAGACTCTGCCTGTGCCTGAGCTCCAGACTCCTGTACCCACGTGCCCATTCAGCATTTCCACTCATATGTCTAATGCCAGACTCTTCCTGTCCATTCATACCTGATCATCACCCATGTACCTAGCTCCCCTCGTCTCCCCATCCCAGGCCACATCAGCTCTGTCCCTCCAGCTGCTCAGGCTAGAACCCAGAAGTCACCTTGACCCTCCCTCTCTCTTACCCCCAGATCCAAACTACCAGAAAATTCTCCTGACTCCACCTTCCAAACATGCTCAGAATCCACCCACTTCTCACCATGCTACTGTCCTGGTCTGCGCCACCATCATCACTCACCTGTTGCAGTTGCCTCCTTACTAATCCCCCGCTTCTGTCCTCACCTTCCTAGTCTGTCCCTCTCACAGCAGCCACAGGAACCTTCTGAGTCCATGCCCCCCTGCCACACCCAAATATGCCCAAGTCACTGGGGTAAAAATTATTTTTGCTCCCAGGAGAAAATCCCAAACCAGCCCCAGTGGGATTAGCAAAGGTTGTGTGGCCTATGCCTGGTACAGGGAAGACCAGAGGGCTAAGGCCTGAAGACAAGCCTCCAGTGGTGGGGGAAGGAGCTGAGACCTACCCTGGTTGAGGCCCCGCAAACCACCCCAAACTCCCAACCTGTGGTAGAGGACACATCCCCACCAGGGTTGTGCCAGCATGTGCATGCAAGCCATGTGCTGTACATGTACAAGTGTGCACATGGGGCATGTGTGCAGGCACATGCACACCTATGTTCCTGACAATGATGTGTGTTTGCATGCGCGCACATGCATGTGCACGCACACATGACCAGAGCTGAGGTCCAGTTGTGAGGCTTTTTTGGACATGTCCCAACTAATGCCTGCTCTGGCCAGAGGGGTGTCTTCATGGTTTGGGTGGTTGAGTATTTTGCACACCGCTCAGCACATGTATAACTCTTTCCTCCTATGTCCACAGCCTGACCTCGGACACGGACTCAATGCCCAACCCCAAGCCAGGCAAGCCCTTGGCCCCTTCCATGGTGCTCAGCCCATCCCCAGGAGCCTCAACCAGCTGGAGGGCTACACCCAAGGCCTCAGACCTGCTGGGGGTCAAGGGCCTGGGGGCAAGCTTCCAGGGCCGGGACCTCCGAGGTGGGGCACATGCCTCCTCCTCCTGCTTGAACCCCATGCCACCATCACAGCTGCAGGTGAGGCCCAGGGCCCATGATGGAGCAAGCAGGGTGGAGTACCTGGGCTTACAGGTGCCGACCTTTTCTTTGGCACTGGGCGGGGGGCCCGGCTGGGGCACAGGAAGTGGTTTTCTGGGTCTCAGGCAAGTCTGTGACTTATGCAGATGTCACAGGGCCAAGAAAGTCCCCACTTAGCAGGTCTCAGATATTTGAGGCTCTCCCTAAACTCCCAATCCCTGTCTCAGGAGAGGAGACCCTATCAGGGTCCCAGAGTCATGGCCCTGTGTCCCCATCCCCAGGGGACAGAGGAGAGGGTTGGGGTCCAAGGAGGTAGGATTACGGAGTTGAGGCCAGCTCTGCCAAATATTAGTTTGTTGATCTTGAGAAAGTCACTCAGTCTCCCTGAGCCTGAGTTTCTACATAAGTATAAAGGAGAGACGGTCGTAGTACCTACCATGTGGGGCTGTGGTGAGGAGCATATGAATTTGACATGTAGAACAGTGAGGATGAAGATAGCGTCTCTCCTGCCTGCCTTCTCCCCTCAGCTGCCCCCAGTGCCCCTCGTCATGGTGGCACCCCCTGGAGCACGGCTGGGTCCTTCACCCCACTTGCAGGCGCTCCTCCAGGACAGGCCACACTTCATGCACCAGGTATCGACCCTGACTGGGCAGTGGGTGAGGGAGTTGGTGGGGGAATTGGGGAGGGGGCCAGGCTAAACAACAGCCCATATGTGCCCCTAGCTCTCAACAGGGGATGCCCATACCCGGACCCCTGTGCTGCAGGTGCACCCCCTGGACAGCCCAGCTATGATCAGCCTCCCACCACCCACAGCTGCCACTGGGATCTTCTCTCTCAAGGCCCGACCTGGCCTGCCACCTGGTAATACCACATCCCACAGCTCCACATAATCCTAGAGCCCCCAAGTCCTTGTATGCGAGCAGCGTAGGCTGCTGAACCGCGGCCCTCAGGTGTCAGGTGTCAGGTTTTATCATCTTGGAAACTCCAACCTCCAAAAAATGTCAGGCTCAGAACCTGAAAGACACACAACGTCAAAATCACGGAACCACAGATCTCTGCAGAGTTAGTGAAAATGTCAGCTCTTGCGAATGGCAGCCTTTGAGCTGCTCTACCAGAAACCTTGGATGTTACGGACATCAGAGGCTTAGGAGGGCGGGCAGTTCAAAAGGAGAGGCCTTGTGGGCCAAGCTCCAGGACCCAGCCCGTAATCTACACAAGCACCCTGTCCCCACCCACAGGGATCAATGTGGCCAGCCTGGAGTGGGTGTCCAGGGAACCAGCACTTCTCTGCACCTTCCCAAGCCCTGGAGCACCCAGGAAAGACAGGTCAGTGGGCAGGGCTGGGAGGGACCCTTACCTAGCCATTCCTCTCCCTGACACCCTCTGTCCCCCCAGTACCCTTTCAACCGTGCCCCAGGGCTCCTACTCACTGCTGGCAAATGGCGTGTGCAAGTGGCCCGGATGTGAGAAGGTCTTCGAGGAGCCAGAGGACTTCCTCAAGTGAGTGGCCCAGGCCCATTCCAGTCCAGGGGAGTCCCCAGTTTGTGGGAGGAGGTCTCAGCTCAGGCCTCATCCTGATAGGTAATAAGATAGAAGAGGCAAAAGCTGAGAGTGAGAATTCCAATCCAGGCTCTGTCACTCACTAAGCTGTAAGACCTTGGGCAAGGACAGAAGTGGGGGATTAGTAAGGAGGCAACTGCAACAGGCTAGTGATGATGGCGGCGCAGACCAGGACAGTAGCAGGGTGAGAAGTGGGCGGATTCTGAGCATGTTTGGAAGGTGGAGTCAGGAGAACTTTCTGGCAGTTTGGATCTGGGGGTAAGAAAGAGGGAGGGTCCCTTAGCTTCTCTGGGAACTGGTTTTCTCATCTCTGCATGGAGCATAAGAGTATGTACTAGTATTTACCTCCATTTTACAGACAAAGAAGCTGAGGCCAAAGAGGTTAAGTGTCTTGATCAAGATCACTCACTTCCTAAGTAGCAGAGCTGGGATTTAAACACAGACAGCCAGCCTCCAGAATTTGCACTCCTAACTGCTCTGCCCTGAGACCCCTCATGCCAATACACCAGCCCGATTTTATTGATCTCCCAAGTCCCAGCTCCTCAAAATGGCTGTTGCTGCCTCTCTTTACCCTCATTACACACAGATGCAACATACATACGCACACCTTCTCCAACCCTACCCAACTATCAAGGGCAACCTGTCCTCTTCACCACCAGACATTCCCTCTACCTAGAATGCCTTTCCTGCTCTCACCTCCTTGGCTGCTCCTAGCTTGCCACCCTTCCAACATCATCTCCAACACCCTGGCCAGGCTCAAGTGGCAAGCTAAGGTCTGGCACAAAGGAGATGCCAAGTAGCATGTGTTGAAGGAATGAGGAGTGTGGAAGGGAGACTGAATTAGGGGGAGTAGGAGGCCGAGACGCCTCCCGGAAGGTCTGAGCCCTCCCCACTCAGAACACTGAGCCAAAAGGCCAGGTCCACCTGCATGGAATCTTCCCTCTTCCTAGGCACTGCCAGGCAGACCATCTCCTGGATGAGAAGGGCAGGGCACAGTGTCTCCTGCAGAAGGAAGTGGTGCAGTCTCTGGAGCAGCAGGTGACATGGAACAGGGGATAATGATGGGGGGGTGGGGGACAAACCTTATGTCTACCCTGTACCACGAGCCAAGCTCACCCAGGATGGGGATAGCACGATGAAAGGAAAGGGGGAGGGCACTCCCAGGGAAGACCATAGGCTAGGCAAAGACACGGTGGAAAAAGGACAGCTCGAGGCCTCACTTTGTTCCCATCCTCACAGCTGGTAGTGGAAAAGGAGAAGCTGGGTGCTATGCAGGCCCACCTGGCTGGGAAGATGGCCCTGACCAAGGCTCCATCAATGGTAAGCTCTCCCCGGCCTGATGCCGGCACAGACTGCTGGGGAAAGGGGGCAGGGGAGAGTCCCTGCGGGGTGCAGAGGACCTACCCTTACACCCAGGCCCTGGGATCTCTGGACCCCTGTTCCCAGCTCCAAACATGCCCGGACTTGAGAATCTATCCCCCTGCCACTTACAAACCCTCTGACCCTAACCTCTTGAAACATCATAATCTTGTTTTCAAAACAAATGCAAACGGCTAGACACTTACTGAACCCAGACCGTGTGTCACTGGCAGGACTGTCTATATAACTCACCAGGCCCAGGGCAAAACGAAAATGCAGGGCTCGAATTTAAATATGGCAACCACAGAGCATTCAACAAAGTGCAGAGCCCTGTGTGGCTGTACAGGTCTCATGCCCACGAGGGGTACCCGGGTGACAAGTATTGCTTCTCATCACCTGGCCAGTGTGAACTTACTCGATCCTCATGATGCCGTGGTACTGCAGCCTTGCCATCATCCCTAACCCGCAGATGAGGTTAAATCGGGGCCAGGCAGACTTAAGTGACTTTCCCAAGGTTGGGTAGCAGAGGATCTCGATTCAACCCCAGCCTGTGGCCCCGGCATTGGTGAGCTACACACACTAGTGTCCACACCACACTGAAAAATATGCCTCACACTGCTTTGTGGGAATACACATCAGACGGGAGTTCAGAAGAGGGCGCCCTTGCTTTTAAAAACACTTAATTATTTAAAACTAAAGTGGAAAGTTTCAGCCTCTGGGGCAGCAGCCTCTCTCTCCCTACCCTCCCCAGGTGTCATCTGACAAGGGCTCCTGCTGTGTGGTAGCTACTGGCACCCCGGGCACCACCATTCCATCCTGGCCCAGCCCCCAGGAGGGCCCCAATGGCCTGTTTGCTGTGCGGAGGCACCTCTGGGGCAGCCATGGACATAGCACGTTCCCAGGTAAGGATGGTCTGTGTCCTGCATGGTGTCCCTGAGCCTCTAATCCCAAGACTGGCATGAAACTGGAGTGGGGGTCGCCACACTGCTCCTCCCCACCACCACTTCCTGGCCTTTGGGAAAACACATCTGCTTGCAAAAGCTTCCTCTCAGGGTTTCCATGGCCCGCAGGCTCGCATTATGGTCTCAGATGTCTAGCCTGTCTTCTCTGAGGATTGGGGCTCACACACTAGGGGCTTCAGCTATTCCATTTGGTCATCTGAAGGGAGACGGGGAGGAACTACCTATGTCATTTCCAGGGACTCTCCCTCTCCCCGCAGCCAAGGGAAAGTAGGGCAATTTGCCCAAGTTCACCAATCCCTTACTGCACAAAAGGCCTCGGTTGTGGGTTTAACAGGGATCAGGACTCCAGAGCATTAGCCTGGTTCTACCACTTAACCAGTTACATCCTTTTGGTGTGCAAGTCACTTTCCTTCTTTTAAACCTCATGGAGAATAAGCCCCATTGTGGTGGGAGTGGTACAAAGAGTAAGTGATACAAGTTATGTCAGGTGCTCGGCAAACAGTAACTGAGATCATGGAAAGAGTGGAGGGTAGGAGAGGGAGTGGGGAGGTTCAGATGGGGCCTGACTCTTCTCCCCCCCTTGGACAGAGTTTTTCCACAACATGGACTACTTCAAGTTCCACAACATGCGGCCCCCATTCACCTATGCCACCCTCATCCGCTGGGTAAGCAGACAGCTCAAGCCAAGGAGAAAGGAGAGAAAGGGGGGACGGGGACCTGCTTCTCAAAGTCCTGGCCTCCCTCCGAGTACCCCCAGGGACGCCATGCAGGGACGGCTCCTGCATGAAGAAAGCCATGCCTCAGATGTGGAGCCCAATGCTGGTTTCAGCACAGACCTGCTCCTGAACCCAACCCTAAACCACCATCCACACCAGGGGCAAGCCAAATTCAGACCCTAAACCTATTCCTTTCCTCATGTCCACCTCAACCCCATACCTATCCACCTTCCAGACCTACAAAATCACCCGAAAACGAACCTGATCTCTGCCCCTTGCCCTGAACCCTTTCCAGGTATTACCCTAACTCCTTCCCCAGCCCCAATATGTCAACACCCCCCCCAGCTGGACCCCATCCCTAACCTCTTCCTTATAACACCTACCTGACCCTTAACCTCACCCCATCCCAAACCCTTGATCTGAATCTCCCCAATGCCTTCCCAGAACCTTCACCAGAGCCCATCTGGACCTTCGTCCTAGGCCCATGCCTAATGCCACATCTGAACCTTAACCTAACTCCTATGCGATGCCACACAGTCCTCCACCTGGCCCCATCCTGATCCCTAACCTCACTGAAGTTGTAATCACTGCCCCTTAACTTAACCCCATTCCTAAATCCAAACAGATCAAATTCCCTGACCCTTAGCCTCACTCCACAACTAACCCCAGCCCTGCCCCTTAACAGCTATACACAACTAAGCTCAACTTCACCACAACTAACGCCATTCACTTTTTTTTATTTTTTTTATTCTTTTATTTTTTTTAACTTCATTCTTGACCCTGAACCTAACCACATCCCTGACCCATAAAATAACTAAATAGGATTATCTCTGACCCCTGACCTAATGCCACATGTCATCCTGTCACGCACCCCTCTAATAGTCCTATTCCATCCCCAGCCTGAATCTAACCAACCCATTCCCTGACTTTTAGCTCTGCCTAGCCCTTTACCCCTTCAAAATCCTTAACTTGACCCCATTCCTGGCCTTTTACCTTCCTAAACCTTGAAACCTCACCCCTACGGAGAACCCCTACTCCAGCTCCATCCCAGACCTTTAACCTAACTCCCGCCCTAACCTTGAGCCACATCCTGCTCCAACCTCAGCCCTGATCCTTTACTTAACCCCAGCCCAGCCCATCTTTACCTCACTTCTAATCCTGTCTCTAATCCATCACCTCCACACCATCATTCTCCTCCTTTCCCCTGCCCCCACAATTCCACCCCATGTCAGACGGCCCAGGGTGGGCCACTGTCCCTCTCAGCCCAACTTTGGGGGAGCATCTGCCCTTACCCCACACCCCCTAACTTCCAGGCTATACTGGAGGCTCCTGAGAAGCAGCGGACACTCAATGAGATCTATCACTGGTTTACACGTATGTTTGCCTTCTTCAGAAACCACCCTGCCACCTGGAAGGTGAGTGCCTCTGGAGGTAGCAGGGCTGGGATAGCCTCAAGCTGGGAAGGCCTGGGGCTGGTCTTACAAATGTGATGGGAAGGGGCCAAAGGTTGGTTTTCGGTGGCGACTGCTGACCTCCGAGGATGACTGCCCACCCGCTACCCCCACCCCCCGCCCGACTGGCTTGTCCTTCTTCCACAGAATGCCATCCGCCACAACCTGAGCCTGCACAAGTGTTTTGTGCGAGTGGAGAGTGAAAAGGGGGCTGTGTGGACCGTGGATGAATTTGAGTTCCGCAAAAAGAGGAGCCAGAGGCCCAGCAGGTGTTCCAACCCCATACCTGGTCCCTGACCTCAAAACCAAAGAAAGAAGGAAGGAAGAACAGGGGCCAAAATGTGGGGCAAAAGTGGCCGGGGACAGGGTTAACAGGCCCTGGACATGCCTGCGGGAACCAAGAAGTATGTGTGCTGTCTTGCCTGCCTGGGACCCTACTACCCAGCTGACTACCCCCCTGGATCTTATGCTCTGCACCAAGGCTGCTCAGAGGGGCCCCAGCCCTGCAACCCCACCCCCAACCACACCCCAGCCCCGTGACAGGCTCTCCAGGCAAACTGACCCTTCACAATCAACCACACACACAGCCTCCCTCAGTCACTCACAGACAACCTCGGGCTGAAAAGAACACAGATGGCCACAATACTGTCCCTTGGACTCCATACAAACTCCCAAATACAAAGAGCCTGTTAGTATACTCAGACAACCTCGACTCTGCAGTTTTACAAACAGTCACACCCGAGTAGTCTTGTCAACCCACATGCTCCAAAGCACACAGCCACAGCCAGCCTTCAGGCCCTTCAGTGCAGTTACATGGAGTGTGTCTCGACACCCACACAGAAGCAGCTTAGTGCCTTTAGGGTCTCAGGTCCTAGAAAGCCACACAGACACATACTGCTCACACAGCATCTCACGCAGCTCCCGATACGTACGCATGGTCACACAGCCCATTAGAACTCACCTGCACACCATACGCACACAGGCACACCCACACAGTGCCCCAGTGGGTCTCCTGAGTCCCATGCAGACACACACAGCCACATACATTGACTCACCAAAATGTACCCTGTGTCTTACCCACCACCCACCCTGTGCCCCACCCTGAGCCCTGTGCCCCCATCCATGCCTCAGCTTAGACTACAGACAGAGCCCCTCATTTATTTGGGATCCAAGGCCCCAACCCTCAGTATCATCCCCAATAAACTGCAGCCAAGCTCCCACTCTCTGGATGTTCACCCCAGATAAGGGTTGGGGTCAGTAGGGCAGGAGTCACCACGGTAGGAGGGACTTGGCAGCAAACACAGGACAAGTGCTTGGCTATTGCCTCCAATACCCCAAATCCCTGCTGAAGCATGAGGTGGGGGAGACCTCTGCCAGGAGCCCCTCAGGTCTCACGGACCCGCCCCAGGAGGCCAGCGTTCTCCTGGCGAAGGGCCCGGTAGTCCTCTTGGATCTTCTCCAGGTTGCTGAGGGTCTTCTTGCCCATCTCCATCTCGATCTAAGCAACATGAATTACATTCCTTCAGCAAGCAGGACCTCTTTCCCAGCTCCTGCTCCCCACCCCCTCCGGTATAGCCACTTAGGGCCCTTCCTGGGCTCCTCTTGCCCGACCCCCAACAGTAGCCTGCTCTGTCCTAGTGCCAGGCCTTTGCACATGTGATGCCTGCACCTAAAGCGTTGTTTGCTACGTGGCAGGATTACCACCGCATACTCAAGCTGAAGCCTCTGCCAACGGCCCTGGAAGGCAGGCATGAGAGCCCTCAGCACAGAATCTGGAGCTCAGAGTAGGCCACTTGCCTGTTCCAGGTCAAGTGTATGGCTAAGGGGCAAGGCAGAGACTCCAGCCATAAGCTGTGTCTGGTTCGATAGCCTGTCTTGGCACAAACCAGGGAGCTGTCCCCTGGCCTGCCTTGGTTTCCCCTCCCACCCCCAGGCCTCACCTGCTCCTCAAGGTCTCGAACCTCCCGCATGATAGTGCCTGTGTCCTCAATGGTTTGGATGAGCTGGCTGCAATTCTGGGGACAGTAGGAAGAGAAGGCTTGAACTCCAAACTGGCCCCTCCCCAGGCAGTCTCTGGGGCATGCTTCCCCGCTCACCTCATGCAAGGCAGCTAGATACTTGTAGGCCTTCCGGACAGCGTCATCCTTCTTGGCATCCTGACCAGAGAGAAAGGACCTCAAATGCATCAGTGGGCTGCCCCCACCCCATCCCCCCTACACACCACCTCCAGGAACCCACAAGGCCGCCCTCTTCCACCCCCATGACTTCATCCTCCATAGAGCAAAGCCAGGCCCAAGCATCAGTGTACCTACAAGTCTCACGCAGGGCCCAGACCCAAATCAGCCCATGAGCAGATGGGCAGGCAGCAGCCCAGCCCCACACCACCCCTCCATCTGGCCCCGTCTGCCTCACACCTTGAACACAAGTTCATCAGTCACCGCAAATGTCCGGTCCAGCTTCCCAGTCAGGGAGTTGATTTCCTTCTGAAGCTCCTTTGTGTCAGACAAGATCTGGCAGAGATCAGAGCCATGAGCCAGTGTCTGGGTTGGGACAGCTGACCAACTAAGGGCATTCATGTGCATCCACTCGTATCCAGACAGGGCCTATGTCACTGTGTCAGGGGTGGCTGGAGTGGACTGTGTGGGACTGTTCTGGGTCATGGTGTGGCCAGATGGCTCTGCCTATCAGAGGGTCTGAGGCCCCGTGTAGCCATGCTACACATACCTGCATTTGGACATGTCTGCCCATATGACCCACCCTCCAAGACCACGGCGGCATACCTTAGTGATCTCTTCCTTCTGCTTGCGGATGTTGCCTACAATCTCCAGGATACGCTGGGTATAGGCCGGCCGGGACACATCTTTGGGCAGGGTCTCCAGCTCAGACACCTAAGCAGAGACACAGCAGACACTCCCCCAGGACCCACACGCGACCCACTCTGAGCGACCCAGGGCCTTGGCATGAGTCTTACCAGCTGCTTATAGACCTCCTCTTTCCTGCGGGCCTCCTCAGCAGCTGCCCGAACACTCTGGTGCAGCTCCTGAATCTCTGCCAGCCGTCGAGAAGATTCCAGCTGCCAGGACCCCATGGGTAGAGGGCAGTGAGAAAAGCATGGGGATAGCCCCTAGGAAGATACCAAACCTGCCCCACTCACAGTCCAGGACCCCACCACCTACCTCTCTGCAATCCTGGAGCTTCCGTAGATGGCGGTATTCAGCAAGGAGTGGGACCCGGTGCTTTTCCCACTGGCCCGCCAAATGGATGACCCTCTGGGCACTACTCTCTACCACGAGCTGGGAATGGTGGTAGGAGGGTACATGTCATACAGGCTGGGCCCTTGCACCTCTGACCCTCCGGGTCCAGCCCCAGTACCAGCCTCACCTGCAGTTTGGCGAGGTTGGCAGCCCCATCTGGCAGCAGCTCCACCGCCTGGCTCTTTAGGCGCAGGGCCTGCTCCCTCTCCGCCGTGCTGAGCTCACTCTGCCGACACTTGGCCTCCACCTGGTACCCCAGGATTCCCAATATCAGTCAACAGGGGAGCTCAAATACACGCCCCGGGCTCCCAGCCCACACTGAGCCTGGAAAGCCCTGGCCTAGCCCGAGTCCCCATGGGTGATGACACACCCCTCTAATCCCTATGGACTCCTTGACCCCCTCTTGATATCGACAGAGGCCTATAAGCATCAATGGGTACCCAGAGGCCCCTATGATGCCTCTACCTCCACACCTACCCCCAGAAGCCATGATGAGCTCCACGAGCTCCTGCCTGTACAGACCCATCATGCCCCACAGATGCCTAGAAATGCCCACAAACCTCCTGAATCTCACAGACACCCACAAGGCCTGGCTAATGCCCACAGTACCTTTAACCTTTACAGATCCACCAAGCCCAGCAACCATACCTCCCTCTCTTACCCTCACTGATTCTCTTGTACCCTCAAGAACCCCACATATCCCCAAAGGCCCTCACGAATCCTTCAGACATCTGCAGACCTCTGCGGAGTACCTCTCATCCCCCTCAAGCCCCCCAAAGCCCTCTAGGCCAGACTTGTGATCTGACCCCAGATGGCAGCCCCTCCACCGCTCCCACCTGCACAAGGCCAATTCCCAGCGTCTTCATGTTGGCTTCGACCTCTTCAATGCTGCGGTTCACTCCTTCTAGCTGCTCCTGAAGGGCCTCCAGCTCCTGCTCTTGAGCTGCCCATGTGTCCTGAGAAAAATAGGCCAGCAGGGTGGGGGTGTCAGGCCCAGTAGACAGACAAGGGCCCAGGACAACCCTCACTGCTCCACTCACCTGTTCAGGCCACTGGGAGGTGGCTGGCACATCAGATACCTGGGTTGCCTGGGCCTCAGGCTCCTAGGGGAGTGAGAAGGGAGCATCCTGGCTGCCAAGGAAGGCCTTGCCCCTTACAGCCCAGCCTTAACACCCCCCAAAAGTACCCTTCTATCACCATACCCGTGCCCACTGAGCTGCTAATGACTACCAGGCTGTGACTATATGAGAATGAAGGCATTCTATGTGACCTCAGGCTAGAATGTTTGCTCATAAAGAAACCTCCCTGAACCTGACAGCTACTGCTCACCTGCCCCATCTCTGATGCTCCAGCTTCCTATGAGAAGGATGAGTGTCCCTCTGGGTGACCATCCAAAGAGAAAAGATATACCCAGAGGAAACTTCCTGGGGAAGCCTGGAGTTTGCACAATGAATGCCCCTCTACCCTTACATCGTTCCCACCCCTCTACCCTTTCTCCATTGAGAAGCCAGTGGACCCCTCGGGGTACTAGCCCCTAGCAGAGAGAGGCAACACCTGGTGGGAACACAGGCACCTGTGTGAATAAAATGTAGTGTCTGTACATAAGGCAACCCCCAAGCCAGTCTTGGCCCCATCAACATGCCCAGTGTCCACTCAGGCCCACCCACCAGAGAGAAGGTGAACTTCTCTGAATGTGTGAAGCGAGAGCCCTTAGGAACACCAGTCCTGGTCCCAGCACCCCAGGCCTGCAGCAGCTCTCCCAGGTCTCGGGCCTGCGGAGGGGGGCCCAGCTGGCTCCAGGTCTGACGCAAATGCTCAGCCAGGTGCTTCTGCAGCCGCTGTCTCTGAGCCCGCGTATCCTCCTGAAAACAGAGGGTAGGGTAAACAGGACAGTGTAGAGGTGTCCCGATCACCCTAGGCCCTGCCTCCTCCAGGGAGCCACGTGACAAGGTGCTACTGACAAATCACACCCTCCCGCCTCTCCTACCAAGGGGACACTGGACCTGCTCTCCTGGCCCATCAGTCTGGAAGCTCCCCCCGTATGAGGTCCCCTCTTCCTCATAGCCATGCTTTATCTACTCACTCCTCATACTAGAGGAAAATGTGAGGAGGTGGAGAAGTAAGCCTGCAGCCCCCAAAGCAGAGAATGACACAGAGAGGATATGGGGAGAGAGCAGAGACAGAGTCAGAGGTGCTGAGCAAAGAAGGAGGTGAAGGCAGAGAGTGGAAGTGAGAGACAGGGACAAGAACAGGAGCAGTTCTGAGACAAC